ACACCTACTTCAGATTGTAATCTCCCTTAAAATGGCGAAATACCATTTTAAGTCTTCATGTATTTCACAACACTTCAGCTTGTGATTCTTATTAAGTGTGGGTCATATTTCAGGAGCAAAGTCTCTGAGATCCTGACACCTTTACTTCTGGAGACTCCAGATAGGTTGCCGATCCAGAAAATGGTGGCACTGGAAACCTAAAGGGTTCCTGATTGTTTCACAGCTAATTCTTCATCTTAATTCCAATATATATATATATATTTTTGCACTTAACATGTGTCTCACCAATGAGTGTTTTGCTGTCCATTGGTCACGCCTTAATTTTGCAGTTTCTAGTATTGCATCCTTATGAGCAATTAATAATTTTTGACTTTTCAGTGCATCCATCTATCTATCTATCTATCTATCTATCTATCTATCTATCTATCTATCTATCTATCTATCTATCTATCTATCTATCTATCTATCTATCTATCTATCTATCTATCTATCTATCTATCTATCTATCTATCTATCTATCTATCTATCTATCTATCTATCTATCTATCTATCTATCTATCTGTCTGTAGTGGATTCTTTCGTGGATTATTGCACTTTTAATATATATTTTTCAATATCAAGCACATCCCACTCTTTCCTCATTCTTTCATGTTTCTTTATTAATAACTTCAAACAGTACTGCCCACTGAAAGCTGTGCAGATAAGATTACAATACGAACATAAATACGACACATTTATATGAAATAAAAGCAAAAGAATTCAGTGAAATGTTTGGAGATGTCTCTTGGCACAGCAGAGCACCAGTTTCAATAAAAGCATATGTTTCAGTCCAGTCACTTTTAAAATTTTCGCCGCTGTTCTAAAAATATTTATTTTCACCATTACAACAAACAAGCTACGGAGCTGCTTAATTCTGAGTAGTTTCAATCTCTTGCAATCTTGGAATCAATCTCCACCACATAATCTTAAGTGGTTTGCCATTGATTGCATTCGTGACACTGGCGAACTGCAAATATGTTGTTATTCTAAACTTTTCATTAACTTAGGAAGGTCAACAAAGGAAATTGGTTGCTTTTTATGCAGAAAGCTGATCTCTAGTGACATGTCTAATCTTTTATCGATCATTTATTGCTAAAGGGTGCGAAACCTGGCCAGGTGTGGCTTGCAAACCACCGCTGAGTTAGAGCAACAAACAATGAGGAACTAGACATTTTGATTGTCACTTGGTTTCTTTTTCTATTATGATTTACTCCGTAGTCACAGTGACATCGCATTGATCCAAATCCATATTAAACTTAAAACACATTCTGAATGGCTGTTTTTTGCCTTTATTTTTTAGCTTTTTCACTTTAATTGTCACTAGTAAATTGTTGCATTGTAATTAGGATGTGATGTTAAATGACTTGCTCAAATGCATGATGGTGATAATTCATTGATCAGCCCTTGTGAGGTTAAACCAACAACCAACCCAGATTTTTAACCACTATAGGCCACACCAGCCATAAACTGTTGCTTTGTCATTTTTGCTGTACATTAGTTGTCTTTAGAATCTCTTGCTATTTGTCAGTACATAAATTATGCACTCTTGGGAAAGGTATGACAGTATACAGTACACATCCTAGTCAGGTGATTTCACCAGGGACGTGGAATCTGGATTTGCGTGTTCGACGAGAGGTCAGATTTACCATATTTTCTTATTTTATTGCTGTTTCCATAGAAGTGAGCCCAGCACCATTAGTGAATGATTTCTGATGGGAATATAAGCAAATCACTTTTATTGAAAGTTACCTGACCATTTTCCAGCTTCTCATTGGTTCAAAACATTGAAAACAACTATATCATTAAAAATTTAACTTTTCCAATGGACGTCGGAACCATTGTATGTGGGTGGGACAAGACCCACCCACTTTTTAAGACCAATAATATTGGACCCACTCACTTTTACCATCTCTTATTCACCGATTACATCACTTGCCCACCCCGAATTGGCGCTAATTCTAAAGTGAAAGTAAAATGCGCACGGCCACACAGGCATTCATAACAGTGCGTGTCCACTGGCGAGCAGCAGAGCGTTTCTATGGAAGCTCAACTTCCATAGGAATTAATTGAAAACGCTTGCTCTGCTCCGCACTGTTCTGAATGGCCATGCAGCCGTGCGCATTTTACTTTCGCTTTCTAGCCAGAAACCTTGATATTACATTTTTTTTTCTAACCACGGTCTGCCATGATAAAACCATGAAGAAGGCATATTTGATGTAGCCTATTTAATCTAATTTAGAATTTTGTTGCTGTTTTTGTATACTTAGTTTTTTTGTGTGTAAAACATCTAGTAACCTATAATTCGTTTGGTGGTTTTTTTGCACAATAAAATCTTTACTGTTTAAATCTGTTTAAATCAATTTTGTTTACATTGTTAAATTGGATGGACTGTTTATATGGTATTGTGTGGTTATTTTAAATGTGAACAAGCAATATTTTTTTCCATTTTAGGGTGAACTGTTCCTTTATAAAACCAAGTGTGCTTATACCAGAACTCTTTCAGTATCTTGGAGCCTGCTTTGGTGTCAGCTAACTACAGCTTTTTTTATATTATGCAGGGTTAACTGAACAGCACAAGGCTCATTATCTGTACAAAAGACTGGGCTTAATGCAGTCCAAGTGAAATGATTTCTGTCTTTGTGTCTGATCTCTTGTGCTGGCAGTCTTGAGCTCAATGTGACTTTCATTGACCAGTACAGAGTTCATTCATAAGCAGCGCACAGCATTGAAGCTGTATGGGTTGTGGCGGGAGAGGCAACGATAGACAGTGGGAGTGGCGTCAGGCCTCAAAGAGATGCCCAATAAGGGGAATAAAGTGTCCATTGGCATAAAAGTGTCCAAAATAAACAGGGGATCTGGTGTCCTTGTTGTGCTGGGGCACGTGTAGGGAAGGCAGTGCTCAGATGAGTTGGTCCAGGTAAAGGGGGACCCGGTGGCCGCACTTGCTCCCCTCTTCTGTCTGGGGCGTGATGGGCGGCAGCTTTTCCAGCAGCTCGTCTTCCTAAGATGGCAAGGCAGTCTGGCCATTCTCAGCCTGATGGCAGCAGAGAGGGGTGCATCCCTGCATGAGCATACGGGTCCGACGACTCACGACTTGGGGGTGTGGAAATCCGTCCCCGCTACCCTCCGGGTCCTGCGAGGACACCAGCGTGTCACAGGGGAAGACACTGGTCTGCCATGGAGGGGTTCTCGTCGTTTAACAGCAGTGGTGATGGGAACCTGACGAAGGGCAGCGATTTAAGTGGCGGGGTGGCGATGATAATAAGGGGGAGGGAGCGTTTCGTCACAGGTCTTCAATAAAAAGAAGTATCCTTTCCCCTGTTTATTGTACAATGATTTATAATTTACCTGTCACAGATTGAGAACATTTATGGACTCAAATAAGTTTCTACATTTTTTATTGTGAGTGGTGTTTTTCCATTCAAAATTTGCTGCCCCAATGCAAAGGTGTTTTGGGTGGTTGCTGGGGTATTCTGGGATGTTCTGGATGATTCCTAGGTGATTGCTTACTGGTTCAAGTCAAAAAAGTGCACCCTAAATCTTCATGAAATTGAAGTCTTGAATAGACTGGTTAGTGTTAAAGGGATACTCCACTTTTTTTGGAAATAGGCTCATTTTACAATATATATCTCTCATTCCTGCGTAATAATCAAGAAACTTTACTGCCGTACCATGAGAGCAGCAGGCGTAATGATATGACGCAGCGCCTGAAAATAGGCCACCTTCCGTCAACACAACGGAACTATTTTCAGGCGCTGCGTCATATCATTACGCCTGCTGCTCTCATGGTACGGCAGTAAAGTTTCTTGATTATTACGCAGGAATGAGAGTATAGTTCCTAGCCATATCAGCCTAGAAAATCGCAACTTTACATTTTCCGTCGGTCTTAGTGCACGATGTAACTATGGAAGAGTCAAGTTTTAAATAGGAAAAATATCGAAACTCTAAACTTAGAAATGCTAATGGTCTTGTCCACTTCAATGATGTATGCTAAGCTATGCTAAAAGTGGTACCGCCAGAACCGGAGATCGGCTGAATGGATTCAAAAACGGTAAAACTCAACAGTTTAACTCTGGGGGAGTTGTAAAATGAGCCTATTTCCAAAATAAGTGGAGTATCCCTTTAAGAAAAACAATGAAATTAAGATGAATCAGTGTTAATTTAACACATTGTAACAGCTCATAATAATTGGGCTTAAATGTATTAAATTCAAAAGTGTTAACTGTCCTTGGCCAATTTAGATTGTGATCACATGCTGCCTTGAGTGCATCCTCCTCACAGCTTTTAATAGAAACCCTTTGCACATCCTCTCAACCATAGTAAATCATATTTTGTGTGCTCCATAAAATGATACACACGTGATAATTGATTCTCATTGCAGAAGGATGCAGTCTTGAAAACAGAAACCATTGTCTATAATGGTAGTCCGTGTGCAATGGCCCCATACTTTTTGATGCTGTGGCATTGAACACCATTATGATTTGCCAGAATCAGTCACTATAACAGGGTTAATGGCAATTTCAGTGCTGCCATTCATGATAAAACACAAACTTGTTGTCAGGGTAAATTAAAATAAATTATTGCAAAATAATCAGGGTCTCTGAACGGGGTTTTTGTTGTTGTTTTGATAATGACCAGATGATTATGCTATTCTGCTACTTGCCAAATAAATAAGTAAGTGGACATGAAATATTGATTGAGTTATGTGACCAGTTAGTGGCCAGTTTTTTTTTTTTTTTGCTCAGTCCCTGCAAGAAAGACTTTACTGTGGTACACCATCAATCTGTCCTTCACACCTGCTCAGAGATGCCTCTGAACTTTTGACTTGTGTGAATGTGCTGTAACTGAAACTGCTTCAAATCCCTTCGAGAAGATCGGGTCCTTATGGCACATCATAGTGAAGTGATGGATTTGAACGTCTTCAACAATAACTCCATGCTGTCGTCTCTCTCTCTCCGCAGTCAAACCGTTCACCTCTAAAGTGAAACAGATGCGATTGCACAAGGAGGACTTCGAGATACTGAAGGTCATTGGTCGAGGAGCTTTCGGTGAGGTAAGCATCCGTCTTGTGTTGAGACTGCATCTGAATTCCCATACTATCCATAGTATATAGCAGTGGCTCTCAAGTGATGGTTTGTAACCCCAACAATTTTCGGATCCGGTTGTTTTTTAAATTATTTTATTTTTGTGCAATACACAATTTTGGTATTATGTTGGTCAAATGTTTTGGTGTTATGTTGGTTTTTGTAGCATGTCAAACATTTGCCGGATCCGTGCATGCTAAATTAACCTAATTGTTAAATAACAATAAGTTTGAAAGTAAATTTAACAAAATTAAAACAAACATGCTTGTGGTCTGTAGTCTGGAAGTCATGGACAAATGACTCTTACAAGCTAGATCTTGTCCTGAATTTAGTCAAAAAGTGTCAAAGCTATGAAACCGTAAACTCTTAGTGAATTAACATCTAACTAATAAGGCTGTAGTCAACCAAAGAAATCCTTAGTCGACCAAAGTCCTGTCCTGCGCAACGATCAGTCGACTAAAAAAAAAGAAAGGAAAAAAAAAAAGACGCGATGTTTTGCATTTTGATTGAACATTTATTAAACAATTGTCATAGAGCATTTATAAAACAACAACGAAAAACCATCAATAATACATAAAACTATAATAATAATACAATTCTTTGAAAATTAAGTGATTTCTTTAACTGCAAAGTGAGGAGCTCTGTCCTAGGACTATAGTGACAGTCACAATCGTGCACACGCTACAAAAAATATAACTGCTAAAACTGCCAAATAATGAAAAATCCGAACAAAAGCTCTTGTTTATAGAGGCTATATGTTCTTCTTTACTTTCAAAGCTATGGGTTAACTTTTGTCCAGCCGATCTAGGCGTTTTAAAACAAACACACAAAAAACCCAAATAGCCTAAAAAACAATCCTAATAATAATAGGCTGTATAGTAGGAAGGCATATAGGTTCTGTTTCATTCTTACTGACCGCCAGAGGCAGTGTAAACACTATGGATTATCGCAGCGCCAGCTAGATAGGTCGAGAGAATATACCAACAAAGTCACGTGGCGTGACGTATGCTGAGCCCTGGAGGGTAAAGCTACAGTAGCTCAGCACTCTACCTCTTTCGCTTTCTCGCCTAGTTGAGATAGGTTGTATTGGTTGAGTGACGCGCTGTCAAGTGCAGCTTACAAGAGCAGCGAGATTCGTCCTCACAAGCTGTGACAGCGCGTGTCTACGCTCTTTCAAGGATTTGGATTTTTTCAAGGATTTGGATTTAAATTAACGGCACTTGGTGAGTTTTGTTTTTTCATATTGCTTCGTCGGTAACACTCTGTGCCTCTCGGTGCAATCCGGTGGCTTGTGTTTGCCGCGCTATGAGTTAACGGTCTCCCGTTGACATAAGTTATCTAACGTTACTTAGAGTGTTTTTTCCTCGTATCCATGTAACACTTTTTGTCCCTCGGTTCAATCCGCCGGCCATTTTAGACACTTCTTATCTTTTTTCATAAAATTTTTGTTGGTATTACCTGTCGGTTCACCCGAGGTAATCGTTTTATTTTATTTTTATTATTTTTTCATCCCGCTTAACTTAACCTTACGGTACTATCCGAGGGTGTTATTAGCGAGTAACTATGGCTCACAGCTCGATAGCCACTGGTTTTCCACTGACTTGTAAGCTGTGCCCTAATAATCTTCTCCCTGACGACGGTCATGACATCTGCCCGTCGTGTTTGGGTGTTCAACATCTGCGAGAGGCTCTCACGGACCCGTGCATGCACTGCAGCCTTTTGCCTATGTCGGAACGACGGCTCCGTCTTGCCGAGTTAGACCCTAATTCTACAGTGAAACTAGGGCAGTTAGATGTAGCCCCTTCGCGCACTCGGAAGCGCAGGGCGTCGGCGGCAGCTGGTGCTCCCCTCCCAGCTAAGAAGGCCAAATCGCGAGATGATGAACATTCACATGTTGAGAAAGGTTCACTTTCTATGACGGTGTCGGTGCTTTCTTCAGAGATGGCAGAGCTGAAACGCCTGCTTCACTCACTTCAGCCGGTCACATCTGCTACACCTGTGAGGATGACACAGGAGGATGAGAATGTTCAAAACCAGGGAGCTGGGGAAGAGTCTCTTGATTCCCCTTGTTTTTCTCATCGTTCAGAGTTTGATGTGCTTTCTACAAGTGCTTCAGATTCCTTTTTTCACGATCATGGGGATCCTATGGATGTTGCTACACAACCATCACCTCAGGCTGTTTTCACTGGTTACTCAGCCGCAGAGGGCTCTAGTGGGGGGTCAGTTCAGTCGTCTGGACAAGCCCAGTCCTCCTCCGATGACACTTTGGCTGTGCTTCGAATGGCAGCTGCTCGTCTAGGACTTGATGAGTCACCTGTCCAATCTGCACAAACTAATGTGTTTTTCAGACAGACCACAGCTGCAACTTCTTTTGCCATGCCACCATGTAAGGATTTTGTGGCTGAATTCTCAAATGCTCTCACTGGTTCTGGTCCACCTAAGCGGCGCTCAAAGATTGCTCGAACGCTAGCATCTATGGCTGAAGCAGATTCTATCGGGGTGGGTCGTGCTCCGGAAATAGAGCAGCCTGTGGCAGCTTTGGTGGTCTCTCCTGATGAGGCTCTACGAGGGAATGTGCGATGCCCCAGTGCTCAATGCGGTCGTACGGATTCCTTGCTAAAAAAGGCATACGAGTCTGTTGCCTACATTACTCGAGCAGAAAACACGATCTGCCAGTTACTTCTTGCTGCCACCAGTACGCTGGAACCTGCAAATGCAGATCCCTCTATTTCACAATTTCTGCAAACTGCTCTGTTGGCGACAGGCCATGTGACCCGCGAGCTGGGTAGTCTTACAGCCACGCTTCTGGCAGCCCGCCGCCAAGTGTGGCTTGCCCAAGCACGACTGCCGGAGGACTGTAAGAAAACCTTGAGAGATCTTCCTTTTGTTCCCGGGCATATCTTTGGTCCAAATGTTCCGGAACTGTTGGAAAAGCGGGTAAAGCTGTCTGAAGCCACTCGTCAGCTGACACAGGTGCAGCGCAACCCTACCTTTAGGATGCCAGCGGTTCAGACCCGACATCACTATGCCGCATCGGAGCAGCGTTTCCGCCGGCACGCTACACCTCAGTCACAGCCCCCTCAAAGACCTCGTGTTCCTGAAGATGCGAGAGTTTTTCGCCCACCTCATCGACAGTTTCCGGGAGGGCCCCGTCAGCGTCCCCCCGCGACCACTAAAAATCGCACACGTAAAGCCTGAGACAGTCAGGCCGGCGGTCGATCATTTTTCTGTAGAGCAACTGGAGTACTGGAGATCCAACACAGCAGACCCCTGGGTGTTGGCGACTCTGAGCAGGGGATATACTCTACAGTTTCGGCGCCGGCCTCCCAGATTTTCAAGAATTGTTCCTACGATTGTCAGAGACGCGGTTCGCGCAGTGGCTCTCTCTCTGGAAATCTGTTCACTGTTAGAGAAGGGAGCCATAGAAAAGGTCCATCCCCTCGTTCAGAGAGACGGGTTCTATTCAACTTATTTTCTTGTTCCAAAGAAGGACGGTGGTTTCCGCCCAATTCTCGATTTAAGGCTTCTGAATTTGTTCCTGAAGGTCCTTCCCTTCCGAATGCTGCGCACAGCCGATGTTCTCCGGTCTGTGACAGCAGACGATTGGTTTGTAAGTGTCGATCTGAAAGATGCATACTTTCACGTCCCAATTGCTGTACATCACAGAAAGTTTCTACGTTTCAGTTTCCTGAATCAAGCATACCAGTTCAAAGTGCTACCCTTCGGCCTTTCCCTTGCTCCTCGCGTCTTCACAAGGTGTGTGAGCGCAGCTCTGTCTCCTCTTTGGATGAGAGGTATCCGTATTCTTCCTTATTTGGACGACTGGCTTCTCTGTGCCCCCACAGAGCAGCAGGCCGTACAAGACTCCAGACTGCTCTTGAGACATGTGCAGAAGCTGGGGTTTTCTGTGAACAAGAAAAAGAGCCGTTTGATTCCATCACAGACCACTACGTTCATAGGAATGACCCTGAATTCCTGCCTAATGTCTGCCTCCCTATCTCAGGAACGTGTGACAAACATTCTACAACTTTTGGCTCGCTTTCGTCCGGGTGTGTCTTTGCAGTACGAGGTGGTCCTACGACTGATAGGGATGTTAACAGCGGCTACAGTTGTGATCCCCCTGGGTTTACTCCATCTCAGACCACTCCAGTTATGGAACAACAGTTTGCGGCTAGATCCCACCAGACATCGTCATCAACTGGTTATAATTTCTCACCGTTGCATATGTGCGTTGAGGCGGTGGAGACAGTTAGAGTTTCTGAAGGCAGGAGTGCCCCTGGGTGTTGTTCCCTCTCGTCGGGAGTTGGTCACGACAGACGCTTCCCTCACAGGATGGGGGGCAACGTGGAATCGGAGGGGTATTTCCGGGCGCTGGACTCCGATCCAGGCCGCGGAACATATCAACCTGCTAGAACTCAGGGCAGTGTTCTTGGCTCTAAAGTACTTCATGCCGGTTCTGGCAGGCCGCCATGTTCTTGTTCGGTCAGACAATACCTCAACAGTGTTCCATCTGAACCACCAGGGCGGCACGAGATCCCGCAGGTCTCTATGGTTGACTCACGAGATCCTGACATGGTGTCAGCCACGACTCGCTTCACTGAGGGCAGCTCATATTCCAGGAGTGTGCAACCAGACAGCAGATGCTCTTTCCAGGGATCAAGTACATCCAGGAGAATGGAGGCTTCATCCAGATGTAGTGCAGGAGATCTGGCTACGATTTGGAAGAGCAGAGGTGGATCTTTTTGCTTCAGAGATGACCACCCACTGTCGCTTATGGTTCGCAAGGACAGAAGTGTCGAGCCCCCTGGGCCAGGATGCGCTGTCTCACGAATGGCCGAACTGCCTGCTTTATGCGTTTCCACCTACCCCTCTGTTATGGGAGACGTTGCACAGGATCTCCCTGTGCAAGCACAGAGTGTTACTCGTGGCACCACGATGGCCAGCCAGACCGTGGTTTCCTTTGTTGCTG